GTTACTTTAGAATTATATATAAATATACTATATATTAATAAAATTTATTTTATTATTCTTATCTTACTTTTCTATTAAATATTTAATACTATCCTTCGTTATTTCGTTATTACTATATTAGTTTTTATTATTTTTATAGTTATAGTTTAAAGTATATATCTTCTTTTTTATCTAAGCGAAATTTAAAGTTATTATTATTTTAACGAAGATCGATAATAAATAAACGATCTCTACCGATTAATTAAATTACTCCGAATATATCGCTTATATCACTAATTCGCTAACTACGCGCACTTATATAATATAAAGTAATTCTCTATATTAAGTACTAAAGTTATTATATATTTAACGTATATCTACATAAATATTTTAAGAGAAAGTATAACGTTATAGATAAGCTAGTAAAAGAGATAGAAAGTTAAGTAGTTACGTAAAATATAATTACGTATATTATTTACTCACTTAACGATAGCTTATTTATTTACGAGCTATATTTTTAAAAAGATTTTAAATATATAGCTAATAAATTATACTAATATCGTATCGTTAGTAAGTAAAAAATATAGCGACACTATAATAAAGATTATAGTAAAGATATACGTTATAAATAAAGAGAGCGATCTATATATTATAAGATAATATTATAGTATCTCTTTATTATAAATAATTAATTACTAAATTATATAGTATAAAGATTTAAATATAAAAGTTATCTTCGAGAATAATAATTTCGACGCTATTTAAAATATAGTTTATTAATATATATAGATTAATAATTACTACTCATATAAAATATATAGCGAGGCTAACTCTAGCCTTAGTACGCCAACTTTACATTAATGATTGACTTTACATTACATTAATAATTAATTCCCGGGCGATTACGGGTTTACACTTAGAGTAGATTGTAGTTAAGGCTAGTAGTTTATAAGTTACGCTATTTTAGCGATGATTAAACCCCGTGGACGGATGGAATCGCAGATTAAAAATCGATCATTTTATATAGGAGGAACATTAAAAAGTTTAGGAATGAAAGGGAAACTTAAGGTTGAAAATAAGTTAGCCCTAACTCTAGGCCGAGACGAGGGTTCCGAATTAGTATGGTAAGCGAGATTAGTCGATTTAGGAGTCGAGTGCGCATTTAGTACTATAGACGGGCGAGAGCGTCGGGATAAATAGTACAGATTCACCACCGAGATTAAGTAGTTTTATAATGTAATAGATTTATTAATCGAGTATTTATTCGTAGCCCCGAGTTTACCGGAGTTATATCGAATTAATTTAATCGCTACTAAAGCCGTATTAAGGTCGTCTATTAAACGGTTTCCATTCGGAATATGACGGAGTATATCGTCAACGAACTCATTTAGATGGACGAATTATTTTAATATTCGTCCACTATTTAACTACTTATTTACCGTTTATATCGATATACTATGTAGCCCGAGAAGATTATTAGTTATTTACGACGTCGTGAACATCGATTACGATCCTAAGATACCCAGTATATATAGAATTAAGTTTTAGAATGGCCCGATTTATAGTAGAATCGTAATATTATATACACGATACACTAGAGAATTCGCGACCCGATTCCCGAGTTGAACATTTTTAAGGACGGGTGGTTATACGATAGTCCGACCGAAGAATATCGGTACGTATATCGCGACGAAGAGAGTATAAAGGTTCATTAAGCTCGAGATCATTCCGGACAGCGAGGTAAGGCCGGTGCGTCGTGTACCGGTCGACGAATCCGTCTTAATATACGGCCGTAGAAGTCCGTTTAGTGTCAGCGAATATTTCTTCGTCGCCGAGGGTCTCAGTATTTTAAGGTTTACGCCCCCGAGCAGCTCGAAGAAGCACTCCCTAAATTATTATCGCTACTCACTAAGATCGAGTAAGCACGATAGATATTGCAGTAAAGAATGGAAAAGATCTAGGACCGTGAACGACGTACTATCGACGAAGAAGCGTATAACGAGCCTAGCCCATAGTTAGAACGAACCGGGTGGGCCCAGTATTTACGCAAATTAAATCGTGATGAGTTATTATAGAGTATCGCTACGCTAGAGATAGATTTAGAATCCGTTAATTAAGTGATATAGAAAGCGATAAACAAGATAATACGACAATATTAAGTCATTATTAGAGCGTATACCGAAGTATTTATACGTAAGAAGGTGATGCGGACCGAAGAAGATTAAAGTCGATTCGTACTATTAAAAGAATACTAAAATCCGAAAGAGATTTAAAATAAAGGTCGATATTAGCGGTAGATTATTATATTTTTCGTTCGTACGTAGCGATTATATTCATGGAAGAGTCCTAAATATATATTAAAGCATCACCAGTAGTACGCGTTTCAGTAATTAATATAGAAGACTTAGCAAGATATCGAGAGAAGTAAGTTATAGTACGAGAAGAGTAAGTACATCGTAGTAGTAGCCAGTGAGTATATAAGTGACGTCGAGGTCGAATCGCCGAATGAGAGAAGTAGTGATGGCGAGGATGATATAGAACTATAGTGTCCCTAAGGATTCGTCCCGTTAAAGGGTACCTAGCGAGTATATTTAGCGTTTTACATTTCGTTATTATACTAGAAAGCTTATAAATATGAATACGAACACGCATTAATATGTACGTTAGCTGTATTAAGTATCGATTCGTATGGATAGAAAGAATATAATACATATTCGCCCATTTTATTCAGTGTAATTAAAATCGCTCGGTTAATGATGATTCAGTATGCGTTCCAAGAAACCACCCTAGACCCCGACACCGCTAATAGCGACAGCGACAGCGACGATTCAACCCTTAGCACGAATGATGGCGAAGACGATAGCCACAGTCACGACGAGTACGACCATCCATTTAGTCTAGAGCCTAAGTAAGTGAGATATATCGACGTAGTTTAGCATATAGTGAACTAATTCATGTTACGTACCAGCTACGGTCCCATAGAATGGATATTGAATTTACGCACATACGGTATGAAGATTTAGTTTAGTGGCACGGCGCCCGGTTTTATCGATTAGCATGGCGATTAAATCATATACAAAGACATCCAGTTTATCATAAGCTAGTTTCGAGAGATGGTGCACTAAATCGTATATAACATCCGTGAGCGGTTATTACGTCGCGTATTAGATATTAGTCCTCACTAAGAGTATAAATTACTTACTATTCTATGGGATGAATTACGTGACGATCCCGCTAACGTATAACCTAATTAGAATTTTATGTAGAATCGTCGGAACCCGTGGCCCGTAAATGGTGAATGATAATTGTTCGATCGATTAATGAAGAGTGATCAATATTAATTTTTATAGAATGAAGATGATATACGGTGGAATGTCGAAGAGGTATAGAGATGGTTAGGTAAGGAAGATACCGTCCGAGAAGAGTTATTGTTATTAAAGTAGTTCGTCGGAGGAGGACCCCGACGGGTACCCGAGTTATTGAGTATTTATTATAGTAACACTAGCTACGGTGAATATCGTAATATCGGTATTAAGAGAGGATTAATGTTTATCGCCACCCGGTATTACAAAGAGTACAGTATAAGTGGTGACGTAAAGATTATTCATTAGTATATACTACGCGAGGTAGGTGAACTAAATATATTGTGAATATAGTTGGTATTACTATTACGTCAACGAATTAAAGCCGAGATATACCACCGTAAGAGTCGAATGAGTTTCATTTAGCCGCGCCAGAGTTCTAGCGAACACACATTCACCCCCGGTCGACTGCGGGAGGGATTAAAGCGAGTCGATATAGTTCACTTAGACTAGACGTTAAACATCTAAATATATCGTCATTTAAGTATTAACATTAGTCGGCGATATTTATAGACTAAGTCCGGGTTCGAGTATAACTCCGAGGACGAATAGGGCGAGATCAACGAAGATAAAGACGACATCATCGATTAATCCGCCGGACACATCAGCCACATCGCGTAGTCGATTTACGCGCGAGGCATTAGTGAGCGAGACGATGAAGTAACCAATAAGCGCGAGAAGTTTCGACGAGCCAGTGTATTATGGCATCGATTTTTAGGGTTCGAGTCCAGTTGAAAGAATGGTCGACAACAACGTCGCGGTGAACGTGAACCGTTCGAGAAAGAAGCCGAGGCGGGACGGTTTCGACGATGGCAGTATTTACGGTAAGTTAACATTTAGATGGCGTTGAAGAAGATGATGGGTCGGGGTCGTCGATTTCGTAGCGTATAGCGAGATACCATTTAAGCCGTGATGCGAGGCGATCCGCGCGTAATGATGTTCATAGAGACCGGTGGTGGTAAAACATTAATTTTTATATTGCCCGTGTGGTGTGGCATTAGCCGTGGAGACACGACCGTAGTGATGGTGCCGTTAATCGTGTTACGAAGAGATATAAAACGGCGATATTAGAAGTTAAAGTTGAAGTGTATTAAGTGGTTAAGTTCACGGATTGTCGACGGAGCCGATATTATATTAATAACGTCTAAAAGTGTATTCAGTACCGCATTCTAGAAGTTCATATAGCGTATAAAGAGCGGAAAACGATTAGATCGCATCGTGGTGAATGAGTGTTATATGATGTTAAATAAGTAGAAGCATTTTCGCCGTCGTATATAAGAATTAGGCGCGTTAAATTAATGAGATATATAGATTTTAATATTAACGACCACTATATCCGTTTATATAGAGAATAAATTTCGACGTCGGATGAATATTATCGATGTGGCCGTAAGTACATTTCGAGACGTCACGATACGAAAGAATATTACATACCGTATTTATCGATTAAGACATACGAAGAGTGTAGGTAATAAGTAGAAGAGAAGTTAGCGATTCTCATTAGATTAAGAGAAGACATTAGTCTAGATGGAGATCATAGCGTATTTCGTACGTCAGCAGATACGACGTTACCCCCATAGTAAGATCGTAGTATATTATTAAACCGTGCCGTAAACTAAGACGTTAGCGGCGTTATTAGAATATAATATATACCACCACTACGCCGCCGATAAGAATATTAAGATGGGAGCGTTTTAGTCCGGAGAGACGTCGTTAATCGTTAGCATTAGTACATTTAATATGGGAGTGAACATTCGCGACATTCGCGTAATTATTTATATAGACGAACCGCGGTTATTATTAAATTACGAATAAGAAAGTAGTCGAGCCGGACGGGACGAGTAGAGGAGTGAAGCGATCATCGTATTACCGGCCGGGGCGAGTCGATATTACCGGTCATTATAATAACCCCGCGACTAGTAGATAGACGAGGTAGCACGACGATAGATATAAGATTTTATAGAAGTACGATATTAGCGAGAGATAATGGACGAATTTATAAATGGAAACGTTCAGCGCGAGAAGTGTAGAAGTGACGAGAAGATATATTAAGGTTATCGTCGGAAGAGAGAGTTCGTAGAGAGCAATAAGACCGAAGGCGAGAATATCGGTGAAAAGATTCGCGAGAGTAATAAGAAAGAGAGAAAGAAGATCGACGACCGCGACGACGATAATAGTAGTGAGTGTAAGAGCGAGAGCGAAGACGGAAGCGAGAGGGAAGTATATTAAGAGACGAGGGCGAGAAAACGAGAAGTGAAGACAATATAGAAAGATAGTTAGGAGTTTCGTCGGCAACAACGTTAACAACAGCATATTAGTCGAGAGTGATAGACGCGGAAGTAAGAGAGTCGCCGTATAATGAAAGAGATTTAAGAGTATTTAGAGATGGTGCGTAGGAAATATATTTATTATTTTTAATAAGGAGAGACATCGACGGTATATTCGTCGATATACCATTACCCGTAGTTATCGACGTAAAACGCTAAGGAGTTATACCGAGAGATTAAAGATCGAATTCGCGAGCGGAAGGCGATGAAACGATTCGGCGAATATTCGTTTTATTTTGTACCCTAGATATAATGTTACGAATGACGTCGGCGGAGGGGCGGCGACGGAAACGGGGATTTTAAGCGGCGATTAGATCGGAATGAGAGGGCGATGCGATATTAATATAAAGATATAGTGTTAAGTATTATCGCGGCGGAAATCGTTTTCGAGAGTAGTACGGGGGCGGAGGCGTATATCGACGAATTAGACCGGCGGATTTAATAGGGAGGCGGGCCGGGGGTAAAAGAACCGAGGAAATTAATTCGATATTTCAGTTAGGTGGCGGATAACGGTGAGTTAGAGACGAGTCGGTTATTATAAGAATATTAGTACGCATAGTAGTATTTATAGCGGTTTTCGAAGGAATTAAAGCGCGTACGGTAAATTAACGAGAGCCGGTTATAATATATATAGATATAGTTAGTTATATCATAGATATTTTTTCCGAATGACTCTATATTAGAGTTAATTTCGAGATTATTCTACGAAATATTTCCGTGAATTTTATATTATTATAGCTACGGCAATTCGCGTTATTTACGTAGAAAGTTAAAATAAAAACGAGCGTAGAAACAACGAATAAAGCTAAGAATAAAATTAAGAATAAAATAGAAATAAAATAAAATAAGTTAATACGTCAACGAAGTAATAAAGAAATAAAGTAGTTTAAAAGATAAGATAAAGAAAAAATATTAAAGGTTAATAAAGTAGTTATAGATAATAAAGAAATAAAAAGAAGAAAAGCGTAGTAGAATAATAAGATAGTAGAAGTAGTGATAAGACGTTAAAGGATAATAGTAGGGAGTTAGTAAACGACGAATATTAATTATTATTATTATAAGTTCGTAATTACGGATAAAAGATAATTATTTATCGTAATTTAATTATAAATAGATAGAGTTCAATAGAAGAAAGTTATATAGAAGGGGTTTAATATAAGAGTTAGAATTATATTATCGAGAATTAAGAGAAGAATATAATATAAAATAGTCGAGTTATCGAAAAGAAGTAATTTTATAAGAGTTTAGTACGAATAGTACGTCGAAAAGATTCGAGAGAGGAAGAATAAGTAATGAAGTAGTAATATTATTATATTTTATAGTATTCAAATTTAGAAGAGAAACGAGAAAGAGAAGTAACGAGTCGAATAAACGGAAGAAGATCGGGGACGGATTTTTAAAGAGGAGAAGAGAAATCGAAGGTAGTAATAAGAGATAAAGAAGAGAGAAGAGATTGAGTTAAGCGTAAGAGCGGGAAAAAGATAGTTAGTATTATGAATAAATTAAGAGATAAGAAAAAATCGATATTAAGATTAAGGTCGGAGAGAGAGAAAGGTAAGAGGAACGAAGAGATAAAGTTCCCGGGCGAAAAAGAGAAGGTTTACGATGAGATTAGAGTTAAGGTTTATAATTAACGAGGTAAGAGTAGATAAGAAGAAATCCGCGAGAGTTAGGGTTCATTAATGAGAGAGAGAGGCGAGTTAACCCCCGGCGGAGCGGAGTAAAGAGAGTTAAAGTTATCGATTAACGAAGAGAGGGATTCGGAGAATATTACGTAAAGTTACGTAATATAATTTTAGTCCCTACGTTAAGGGGTTCGACGGGTAAGAAAGAGCGTAATCCGAGCGCGAAGCGCGCCCCCCGTAGGCGGGAGTATTTAAGCGTTAGAGAGAAAGCGTAAGCGATTCGAAGAGTAACTTATAAGCGGTTAGAGCGAGAATTAGAGCGAGAGTTAAAGCGAGAGTTAGAGCGAGAGTTAGAGTCTATAATAAGTCTTCAAATTAAGTCTTAATTACGATTAAAAATTACTTAACTACTATAATAGCTTATTAGATAAAACTTAAAATATAAATAATTTAAGAATCTATAATTAACTTTCAATAGTTAGATATTAATATTCTTATAATGCGATATTACTAGCGAATAGTAAAGTAGATCGTATTTCGTAGTTAATTAATATTCCTACTAAGCATCGTAACTAAAACTCTAATTAAAAAAAG